CGGATTTGTACCGGGTTGTGTTCATTTTTCAATAAAGTCTGGTCACTACTTTTACAGCCGTGCTTAGGGAAAGCGAACTTGGCCGGGAGATTAATCGAAATGGTCAGAAGCCCTGTAGAATGCTTGCACAAGGTAGTGCAGAACCGATTGTGTGGTCCCAGCAGCGGATCTTTTTCTAAAATTGACCTAGAAATATTATACATCAATTCTATCACTAATCAACTGTTGTCTCGTATGGCGCCCACCATAGATAACCGCTAAATCTTCCCCTTATCTCTTCGGCGCATTCGATGTCGGGCTCCTTGTTTTTGCAAGACTTCGGTATAAACTTTAAGAAAACTGAATTTCTTTTAAAATTTTTCCTGTTTATGCTTCGATAATAGGCCGATCCTTGATACTTACCTCTTCTCCTTCCTATTTAATGTCTTAGGAGAGGAAGATCTTGCAGCATAGAGACAAACTGCGCCTGTTGGCTGACGAATTTCGCGAGACTCTCGCTCCCTTATCACCAGTTGAATTTGTCACGCTGGCTGATAAAATTGCCAGCCTACGTAAGACACTTTCCCCGGCCTGGGAACGTCTCAACTGGAACAGTCTGGTCATCGATGATTTCCTCGCCAAGGGTAACGCAGCACTGAGCAAGTTCCGTACCCTACTCGACGGAATCCACAAGGCATCAGAGAACATTGAGGACATTTTGCACACCTTCTCTAATGCCGTTCTTTTCAACATGCCACAAAGCGTTCAGCCCTGCAGCTCATCGAAACCGATCTCCCTTCCGGCCTGCAAGGTTTGAATATCCCTCCTCCATTTTTTTCTAGTAATCGCTAGAGTTCAAACTTAGTGGACTCAATTGTGAAAGATCTCGCGGTGTCGGCGCGCGTCGAACCCGCATAGCAGGGAAGGCCTTTACGCAGCCAAAGCTCTACCACTTGGCTGCGTAAAGACCTATACTGTTATGCGGGTTCGACTCGCGCCGACGCCGCGAGTTTTTTCACAGTTAGCTCAACTAAATCAAGCAAATATGCCAAAATCCCCTAAATAATAGAGTTCACACTCACAAAAAGTAGTTGTACAACTTGGGGAAATGGAAATTTCATACAAAGGATAACATGCCATATCCTGGGATGTTTAACTAAACCTACGGTCAATACAAGCGAACATGCGAGTCCCGGGAAGCAGTTGAGAAGAAGAAGACTCGATCGTTGGGACAATGTGTTTATTCGCCTGACGTTTCGATATCCGTCGCGGATTCATCATCAGATTCATCCTCCTCCTCATCATTGTCATCATCATTATCAGTATGCCGGTAACCGTCTAAGCCACAACTTTTATGATACTGATTTGATTTACAAGGCATCGACCTGTGGTGTACTTCCCACGTCGCCATCCCCTAACAGAGTGTAGTCAGGGTGTAATCCTGTATCTCCCGAGGTTTTATGTTAAGAATACCAGGAGGAGTCGAGAATAAATCTGACAGACTGCCGGTGTCATGACGAAGTCAAGAAAACCGGAGACGGGAAAACACGCAAGTGGCTGGTGCACCCGGACCCAGTCCTAGGCGTTCCGCCATACTTGGCTCAGGTTTCTTTGAGTGGGGGTGCAATAGAGGCCACATTAAGGAGACACTGCTGTCTGATTCTCAGGCTGCCCGTCAGCCACCCCCCACACAAACACAGACTGAACTGGCCACGCGGTCCTAGTTATCCCATTAGTTGACAACCGTCAAAGTCATAGTCTTTAGTGCATCGTGAGATTTTCAAGCACGTCAAATATTTTTGATTGAGAGGAAAGTACGTTGAGCCGTTGAACGCACTCTCTCTCGCTCCCAGATATCTGGATATCCACATTGTTGCTGTCAATCAATTTTTGTCGCTGCCAACGCGTACAGCAGAATAGGAGTTCAAAATGAAACTCGCGGTTTTATCGCAGGGCGTTAAGTAAGTTAAACCCTAGCAACTGCGATCTTCAGACCATGGTTACTTAG